GGTTTCTCTATGAATGGGAGTAAGCTTAGATCAAATCAAAATGTCTGCCGGATGGACTGCCAGATCCGAAACATTTGCGAAATTCTATCAAAGACCTATTGTAAAAGACTGTAATTTTGCTGAGGCTGTGCTTAGTAGAAAAACAAATAAAAAATAAAGAATGTTTCATTATATTATATAATATAAAGATGGAAAATTTTCTTTAAAAATATATCTAGTTATTTTGTATACATATATGTTTATATAAGTTTAATACGATTTACTAACTAATTTGTTATTAAAAATTAAATAAAGTGTTACTGCTGCATCTTAGACTCTACATATCTACATTGTAAATTATTTATGAGACGAAGCCGAAACATAATTATAAGATCAAACAAACTTACCTGTAATGAAGTTCGATCTTAATTATGTTAGGCTTCGTCGAAATAAATAATTACCCACCCAACCCTTTTCAGCCCTATAGATGCAGCCAAGACTTAAGGCTCTAAAGAAATGAATTGAGTAAGGCATAATCTGATATAGACGATAGGGTGACTAATCATTATTTTTGGTTACCTAACTCTTTCGTCGTGTGATTCGGTACTTGATGGAAGGACTACATTGTAAATTATTTATTTCGACGAAGCCTAACATAATTAAGATTGAACTTCATTACAGGTAAGTTCGTTTGATCATATAATTTTATAGGTTTGTTTATAAATCGATTTTTGTTTTGTTTTTATATAAGTAGGGACCTGTGAGTGGCAAAAATTTATATACATATTCAATTTCCAGCTCAAAAATTATTTGGCGATTTTGGCCATAGATTAATAACCTCTATTTTTTGGTTACTTCGACAGATATATCTGGCAACACAAGGATAAAATATTCTGACCACCCTGGCCTGAAGAATGCATTAAAATGTCATAAATGTGAAGTCTTCATTTGAAAGTCTTAAAGAGTTAATAGATAACTAGTTAATAATATGATTTCTCTATGGTAAGAAGTAAGAAAAGAGAATACTGTATCATATAACTGAAGTCTTATTTATGTAGCTTCTAATTTTGATTTTAATAAAAGGTCAGAAAAAAAGATACTAACAGACTTCATACAGAAATCTCTCCAAATTGGATGCTGTCTGGGATTTTACAAGACAATAAATTTGCGAGAGATGTGTTTCTTTACTTGTAACCAATCTAAGATATTTTAACCTATATTAAAATGGACTAACACCTTAAATGTCAGGCTAGCTATGGGCCTGTACTACTGGAATATTTGTTGTAATTATTATGAAAATGGGTTTAATACCTAGTTTAATGTAAAATTTAACTTTATATGTAAAACATTCACAAAAGTTGTAATTTACCTACCTTGACTCTAACAATTCTAAAATTTCAAAAATAATCAGTTCAAACATTGTACATGATAATGTAAGTGTAATTGAAAAAATTAGCTGTACCATGACATGACGAACTTCATAATCTTTAAACAGTTGTTTCATAAAAAAAATCCAGGCACCAACAAAAAAGGCAAGCTGAAAATAGTTTAAGGAAAGTAATTAAAATTATAAATGATAATTTGATTTACCTGTGAAACGAAAATTACGATAGAGTCCTGTAAAAAAGCCATATTTTATTTAATTATAGCTACATTATCATATATTTAAAAAATATATATAAAAGCCTTTTATTATCATTGAACTTTATAAATTGTAACATACAAATATTTGAAATTTAAAAGTTAGGTTAGAACAATCCAAGATACACACACCCAGTGTTGCCACCCTAGTGTGTAGAGGTGACGATAATATCGATATTTTATCGATACTATCGACTATTTGCTTTTTTAAATACTATCGAAACTATCGATATCGACTTCGATAATATCGATACTGATTACTGACAGCCAATGTTGCCAGGTCTACTAATTTTTCAGTAGATCTACTAATTTTAATCAATTGACAGTCTAAAATTTAGTAAAAATCAGTAGAAACGCCTGCAATATTAATAACATAATATATGCTTAGTTAAAAGTCTAAATATTATTTGCAATTTTAACCAAGCAAATTTATGAGCCTACTGATTTCTACTGGCAGTGAATAAACATATTTGAGCTGGCAACACTGTTGACAGCTGGTATTATAGATATATTTCGTTTTTTTAAACTATCGATAATTTATCGATAGTTTTGATAATTACGACCATGATTATCGAAACAATCGATATTTTTTTTTCATCACTATCGTCACCTCTACTAGTGTGGCAATCTGTCCCACGCGCAGGCATAAAATATCCCATATTTTGCTTAAAAATCCCGCCAACTTTATCGTGTCTAAGCAGAAAGTGATACCGCTACCGCTACCTTTACCTCTACCTTTACCGCTGCGTCTACCGTTACCTTTAAAACTATAAATCCAGCTTTACACATTTGCTTAGCTTGCGAGCAGGGTTGGGTCAGTAGAAAACCTTAGGTAATTTACCTTGGTAGAAAAGGGTAGAAAACTTGTTTTCGACTTGCGTCGAAAACCTATAGGGTTTTCTACCTACGTAAATTACCTTATTCGACCTTCTCCTTCCACTTCTCTATAATTGATAAAAATTTGCCCTCATGCCAAAAATTATGTTGGGGTCTCCCAACCAAACGCGGCCCTTTTTTTCCCACCATAATAATGTTAAAAAACTCCAAATAACTTCAAATTTATGGTAGGTGTCTGATTTTTCACAACATTTAACAAATCATAATAAACAACAAACTTGCATAACCTCACATCTTTTGATATTTGACAGTATTCTACTTTTTTACGTTTTCTACCGTCGAAAACGTCGAAAAAGGTTTTCTACATGTCGAAAACAAAAATGTAGGTAGATACCCAACCCTGCTTGCGAGTCAAATTGCCACTTGGCCAGCGAATTGACCATATGCAAGGAATGCGGTCGATGTTGCCAATGGTAAAAAAATAAAATTCCCTATTGGGAACATTCAATTATATTACGTTGGCAACATTGAAAATTTTAATTTCCCGTACAAACTAAATTAATTTCCAACTTTTTTTTTTAATAATAATAAATAATAATAATTCCCACATTTGAAATTCGCACCCTAATTTATTATACAACATTGGAACTACCTTCTTTATCTCTGGGAACTACTAGAATGTGTCAGTTTGTGCGGGAAATTCAAAATTTCAATGTAGCCAACGTAATATAATTGAATGTTCCCAATAGGGAATTTTATTTTTTTACCATTGGCAACATCGACCGCATTCCTTGCATATGGTCAATTCATTACGAACAGGGTTGGGTATCTACCTACATTTTTGTTTTCGACATGTAGAAAACCTTTTCCGACGTTTTCGACGGTAGAAAACGTAAAAAAGTAGAATACTGTCAAATATCAAAAAATGTGAGGTTATGCAAGTTTGTTGTTTATTATGATTTGTTAAATGTTGTGAAAAATCAGACACCTACCATAAATTTGAAGTTATTTGGAGTTTTTTAACATTATTATGGTGGGAAAAAAAGGGCCACGTTTGGTTGGGAGACCCCAACTTAATTTTTGGCATGAGGGCAAATTTTTATCAATTATAGAGAAGTGGAAGGAGAAGGTCAAATAAGGTAATTTACGTAGGTAGAAAACCCTATAGGTTTTCGACGCAAGTCGAAAACAAGTTTTCTACCCTTTTCTACCAAGGTAAATTACCTAAGCAGCGTTGCCGCACTGAAATTATCAATTACCCACGCCACTATGACAGAATACCCGGTTTTACCCCCACTTTAACATGAAAATCCCCATAAAATTACCCGTCCGAATACGTGGCTTGTTTAAAAAAAAAGAGGTAAATTTTTTATTAATAGTAAATAGGTAGGTATTAGCCTAATACTATTAAGTAGGAACTTTATTAATACATAGATAATATCTATTAGATATGCTTACTTTATTAATAAATAGTAGATGAACCTCCTCTCAGGGATTAAGTACTTTATTTTTTCCGTAAATTAGAATTTAACATTTTGTTTGATGGTTCAAATCTGACAGGACCTCCTGCCTCTTGAACCCCCTCTTTTGTGTGTAATAAGGCGGCGATTCTGTAGGTGTTTAGTCTGTTTCTGTTATAAATAAAATACCCGTTGACTGTCAAATTAACGTCAAGGACATGCGCAATATAAAATAAAGACTAGCTCCATCTATTAGGTAACTGTATAAACCCAGTCAACAAAATGGTCAAAATGAACTTTGACATTTTCGCAGAAATAGCGTAGGTCGAATGGTTGAATTTTAATTTTAAAGTTTTATTTTTTGCTGTTGCTTCTAAAATTTTTATTTTTGCAAATTTGGGTCAAAGGGTTAAAATCCCCGGTTTTACCCGTTTAATTATTTTACCCGGCACATACTCCAAAATACCCGAATTTTGGGTAAAATACCCGGCAACGGCAACGCTGTACCTAAGGTTTTTTACTGACCCAACCCTGATTACGAATGTAGCTTAACCCAAAGATAATATTATTATTATCTTTGGCTTAACCTGTATTTCTTCTTCTTCTTCTTCTTAATTCTGAGCCTCTGCCGGGCAGAGTCTGCCCAGATGTTTGGCCTTTATAACCTGTATTTCAATACTCAAGAACTGTTTGATATTTAAACCTCTTAATCCGTACTCAAATCAAATAAAACGCAAAATAATTAATAATTTAGAGTTTTTCTAGGTTAATCTTCTACTTCTTCAATAAAAATAAATTTCCTTTTTACAGACGTACAGGCAAGCGGCCGGGAGGAAGGAAAGAAGGTAATCTATAAATCAGGATTGATCGTCGTAAAATATCATATCAATATGCTGTTGGCAACACTGGACGAATGTTTTAAACAGAGACATAGCTAATGTTTTTAATAAAACTTTTTATCATAGAAAAAGAATTTCATTAGTAGTGTAGACTTTGACCCTATGTTCTGTGCTTTGACCCAAAGTTAAATAAATTGAAATAGGTATTCAAAAACTGTTTTATAAAAGTTAAACAATAATAATAATGGCTTTTCAACAAGTAAGTAAATTTAAAAAAGGATATAGAATTTATATTTGGATTATTATATTTAGGTTAAAAATACCTTTCTACGGTCATTTATAAAAGGAGTTTCTTCAACACAAAGATGTAATTCTTCCAGTGGACTTTTTTTTGGTATAAACCTCAAATTTTGATGAATAAATATAATTTATATTTAACACTGATTTAGGTCTTAGTGAAGAACAGAAGGAGTTTCAGGAATTGGCTAGAAAATTTACAAAAGAAGAAATAATACCTGTTGCAGCTGAACATGATAAAACTGGAAAATACCCCTGGGAAATTGTTAAAAAAGCCCATTCACTGGGCCTTATGAATGGAGGAGTGGAACCTGAGTTTGGTAACTTTATTTAAAAGGTCACTTAGTATCATATCTAGGGCTAGAGTTGCCACTTGTATGGTAATTTATTTTGAAAGTATGGTACACTGTCCAAACCTTAATACCGTAGGCAAATGTATGGTAAATTTACTAATTAGGTAACATATTTTCTCTTGAAAGAGGTAAAAAGTTCTTGATTTAAATTTTCATTTTTTGGGGTTCATCCCGGGATCCCTTGGTTAAAGACTAATTTCCAACATAATTTCAGTTTGGAGAAATCAAGTAGGTCTTTGAAATTTTTAAAAATCCTATTCTTGATCATATTTTTATCTGAAGTAAGGTGCCTTTTATGTTGCCAGAATGGTCCTAAAGTTATTAAGAAAAGTTGTTTAGAATTACCATCTAGGCCCATATACCTACCAAATTTAAAAATCCTTGGCCAACTATAATTTTTTATTTATTTGGTTAAGATAGTTTTTTGGTAACACATACATTAAAAATTTATTTAAAACTGTTTCTTAAAATAAAGGTCCATATCCCAAATGTTAAAATCATCATGCAAACTTTTTTTTCACATTAAAGATTATTACCTTTGCACATGATTTGCAACATATCAGTTTTATATAATATATATTTTATAAAATATATATTATATAAAACTAATATAATTTTACAAATCATGAGCAAAGGTAATAATCTGTAGGGTGAAAAAAAAGTTTGCAGATGATTTATATATACTATACATATACATATATTATATATATACAGGGTGATTCACCTAACTGATCATTAGGGGTTTATAGAGAACTAAAAGAGACATCAATCTGAAATTTTGGTTGCAGCTATGGTGCGATGGTATCTTGCTTACTAAAATATTTTCAATGCGCTGTCCCTTCCGGTTTAAACGGAAATGACACTAACTTTGTTTTTTTAAAAGGAACCGTATAAATATTATTGCATTTTTAAATTCTACGTAAAATTCTGAAGCCATTGCATTTTGAATCGTTTTCCTATCTTTAATTGTTTTTAAGATATTTAATTTTTTCAAAAAAAATTGACACTTGGAGTAACTAACTAAAATGTCTTTATTACCAACAATTGTAATGTTAAAAAGTTCATTTTTGTTATACACGTTAAGAAAGGCGTATCCTATCAGGAGCCATTAATAGTATTCCAAAATGTTATACAGGGTGTTTGGTATTTACCTTTACTTTTTTAAATGCCAATAACTTTCTTATTTCAACTGGAACGACCATACATTTTTTTACATCATTTGACGCGGAATTTTATTCTCTATTAAAATGTTATAGCATACCCTATAGCTAAAATAAGTATTTACAGAGATATTACCAAGAAAGTAAAAAACCCTCATTCTACTCTTTTAAATAAAAACAACACGTGCCTCAAGACGATCTAATTTAATTTTTTGGTATAATCATTTCTTTTCTGAAAATAGGGAATAATAACTTTTTTGAGATTTAAAAATTATTAACAATGAAAAAACTTTTCATTTTCAGGGGGTTTAGCTTGATAAAATATTATTTTTCAACATAATTTTAATTTTGAAAAATCAAGTATGCCTTTGAAATATTAAAAAAACAATTTTTTCTACTCCCACGTTTAAAACGCCCTTTATCGTACATGTTTCCATGATACTAAGTGACCTTTTAAATACACATTGACTTTATGGCGCTTAGTCACGGGCAAAAGTTAGTTTTAAGTTAGTTGACAGTTGTCAAATGTCATACAATCGTTAAAATAAATTGCCTTTCTTGTAAAATAATACTAAATGTGAAAATTATTTTATTATCTCAATACAAAAGTATTTCTCAACGCCAATATTTGAAAAGTTTATATGAACATTGTACTGACCTTTTAATTTCGCCGGCAGTAAACTATAACTTAAATTCGGGCACGGACTCCACTGTAAAGTGCTCATAAAACATTTTCTTTTCTTTCACTGTGAAAAACTGTCAATTTTCAAGAAATACGTTTCGATTTATAACCTTTATAATTGTGTTTATAAAATATAATGATTTTACACTTGACGGTGACACACAGTTTCCCCTATTGTTTCATAGATGGCGCTCAATACAAATTTTTGATTTAAATCATTTTAAGATAATAATAAGTATTTGTCGTAGAAAAAGTATAGTATGCACCTCGTTTATAAACTTTTCTATACACTCATTAATTTAAGCACTCGCTCGCAAGCTCGCTCGTGCCTAAATTAAATTCGTGTATAAAATGGCGTTTATCAAACTTGATACATAATATACTATATATTTTGTGTAGGTTAAGTGTCTTTCATATGATATACAACAAAATATTATCAAGAAAGGTTGTTAAGAATCATATTTTAGGTCCATATCTAATTTTGCAATTTTAAGGTTAGGAAAACTTATTTTTACCAAAATAAAGTATTTTGGAGCATTTGGAAGCATGTGTTAGTGTTGTTATATCAAATATACCTACTAAACAATTAATGAATATGGTAAAAATTAAACTGAAGCTTTTATACTTCTAACGACAAAGCTTTAAGTTAGATTATAAGAAAATCTAAACCATTTTTAGAGAAATATGCAATGTGAATTATTAAAATTTAAAAAGTTATATTGTCCAATTATAATGATTTTTCAATGTAGATCAAATTCAATTAAAGATGTATACATACATTATACAGTATACTTGTATAGACAAAACATTATGTATACTTAGCTGGATTGGAAAAGCTACCACAATTTTTTAGAAGAAATTGTAAAATAAAAATATTAGATACTGTGGGATTAATTTAAATTTTTAAAGTTATAAGGTTATAATGATTGTTTGATGTAAATTAATTTCAGTCTAAGCTGCTATAGGTACTTGTATTGTCAGTATTAGCTGACATTGGAATTTTAAAGAACTTTAAGAAGGTTAGCTATTGAATTTCCAAAAACATAGAAACAATTCACAGTATTTTTAGTAAAGTAATAAATTTATATTTGAGATCTCCTATACTGTGTTTTCAACAGCCAGTTGTTCAATTACAGTTTTTAGTTGATGTCTATTTTTTTTTACTTCAGCATGTATGTATACATATTTTATACCTACTGTAAAACTTAATACTAATACAGTTCAATATTTTTTAATGTTGGTATATATAATATTAATTAAACCACTTCATTTTTAAGATAAAATGATCTATGTAATCCAAAAATAACGAAAAAAAATTGTAAATTATAATAGCTATTTACCTAACTAGTTTCGGAAAGTGCTACTTTTCCGCACGCAACTTCAGTCGCGTGCGAAAAAGACACTTTCCGCAAGTGTTAGGTACAATGTTTTTTCTACATGCTTGTGGAAAATTAACTAGTTTTTGGAATTTTTTAATATTGTATGACAGTATAAACGTCAAATTAAAAGTACAATTCAAAATTCAAACATATATTTTGTTTGTTATTAACAATATTTATGGTAAAAGAACAGTTACTTGCGTTTGTTACGTTTATGACTGAAGCAAGTTCAACATAAGGTGGCTGAAGCTCATTTACTGATTGTTGCGAATTGGAAGGAGTACCCTGAGTTTAGAGAATCCTATATGCATTTTGTTTTTTGTTTTGTAAATACTCGTCTATAGAAGTTATGTGTACATAACCTTCAGGACCTTGGCGCTTAAGGTTCGTGATGTCTACTCCACAGTCTACTAGCAAAGTGGCTGAAGACCGCCTAAAACAATGCCCAGTGTATAGCTTGGGATTTGCCAGTTTAATGTATCTCAGACAGATAATTTAAGAAAAATCTTTTGTGGGGTGTACTTTGTGGTCGCAGTATATTTATTAATTAAGTTTAAATTTCTTTCTTTTTAAAACTATTTAACTGCCTAGCAGTTAAATAGTTTAAAAACAAATCAAAATTATAAAGTGTTTTATTACATTTTATACAGCAATATATTGTTATAAAATTAGCAAGTAAATAACTCTCATATGAACAAATAAATAAAATAAATTATAATAACATACCATTTATTATTAAGAATATTATCTAAACTGATTGTAGAATAATATAATAACGCACAAAAACACAACCGAACAAAACGATACACGAGGTCACAGAATATAAATGATGATAACTAAACTAAATGAAACTTTTTTGTATTGAAAATTATTAAAATATTTCAATTTTGCAATACTGTCACAGATTTTATTTACTGTTGTCTATGGTTACCTCTACTCTTTTAAGACGTGTTCCCTGTATAAAGAATTCTGCAAATGGCAAAATAATTTTAAATAATTGTTTTTTATTATTTTAAAAATTTCAAATTTAGTTGTTAAAAATTGTAGTTTTTCTAATCCAGCTTAAAGTAATGTTTCGTCTTCGCGAAATATTGAGTTATTGTCTAATTTTCATTATATTTATTTAAATATTAAATCAAGCTTATTGCCCCACAACGCGCATGTTTACCCCAACTATATTTTTAATTAATTATTTGACCGCGTGATTGATGGCGTAAGTGTATTAACAACAAAGAGTTCGAACCGCAAGCATCCCCGCGATAAACAGTGATCTACCACGCGACATTGTACCCGCTTTATCGCTCTTTGTGCATCGCAAACGCTTGAAACCATCGCTAATAGCCTAATTGCCAGAAAACAGGGCCCTGAGTGTCGTCATCAACACCAGCAACAAGGTAGGACTTTACTTTATTAGTATTCTTACTGCCCATGGGCGTGCACGTTTTATCTAGTCACATAATTCAGTCAACTAACACCACCACCCCTATTTGTCACATTCATACAGTCCACTGCCTACCATTTTGGTCCTTCGAGCATTTTTTTTGAGCCGATGGGGTGTTTGTTGACCGAAAAATCGTGTTTAAATTATTCGCCTGGGTTTCGGCAATAAGCGCCATTTTGTTCATTCATAATTTTCGTAGTACGAGACATTCGTTCGGCCCTTGTACTTGAAATTTATTTTCCGAGTACATCTGATTTGTTGATTAAATTGCAATACCTTAATAATTTGATTTAAGTTAATAATTT